ATTCATAATTTTTATTTTGCTGTAACTGACAAACATTAATTAGCTTGTTAAGTAATTTTTATTGGTGTCTTTTTTTTCTCTTCTTTTAAAAGAAATATTATGATTATACACGCTTATTTATTTCACTAAGTATAGGAATAATTCGAAATTTTTTGTAAACAGTAAAATTTTATACGTAAAGTAAATATTATATGAATGAATAAACGATATCATTTTTTTCGTTGATTGGTGAATATCAAATACGAATAACAAGCATTAAAAGAGGTTAATCCAATCCAAATAAAATGAATTAAGTAGTGGTTTTCTTGAAAGCCAATAAATATCGTCTGATGAAATTGATTACATCAGAATTTTTCGTCTTATAATACGTCTCTACAATCGATATTAATATTCTGATTTGTAGTACTATTTTATTAGTCGTTTGTTTTAATTTTAGAAAAATTTTTGATATTATATCATGGTATGTTATAAGTCAGGTAGGTAGTTTTCATATATATTTAATTTATTTATTTGGACCAATAACGTTGTACATATTAGACAATGTATATGTGGTTAGTATTTCATCATCTGATACTTTTCATGACATATGTCATTTGTTTGATTAATATTTTTTTTTTGTTTGGACGTATCTATTCGAATTTAATATATACTAATGATAATATCACTAGAATGTTACTCTTCTAATTGAAGTATTTCATACCTATATGTTAGGAAATACTTTCATTATAATAAAATAGAAAGCAAACCTATACAAATGTTATAAATAAAGAATTTTATTTTTACGGATATTATTATAATTTTCAAAGAATGACTAAATTGCTTAATCTTTTTAAAATATTATCACTGAATTAGTATATGTATTCAGCATGAATACTATAGAAGGTTTAAATTTCATTCGACGATTATATATTGCGTTTTATAATTAGACGTTTTGTATATAAGATAGAAATACCAATCATTCAAACACTTATTATTGTTTACTTAGTGTGGGGGGTCAAGGTCAATTTGTTTTTTCTCAACAACATAACTTATAATAAATCTTGACAAACTTTAATTTCAATGATTTGTTTTTATTTTTCTAGATCATCAATGGCTGATACAATGAGTGTCTTGGAAATGTTTAGTCCTAATCAAAATATTAGTTTAAAAGAAGCAAAAAATTATCGTCAGAATGGTTCTATAAATTCAAATGAAATAACTACTCCATCAATTAAATCATTATCATTATTAGAAAATATAGATAAAAAATCAAATGATTGTTTATCATTAGAACATAATCAATCTGATTCATTATCCGCTTATGAAAAATTAACAACATGGAAAAAATCTATTGAAACATATTTAAATCATATTTATTTCAATAAACTTACAGAAATAGATAATTTATTAGCTCATGGACAAAATCAAATTGATATTATATTTAAAAAAATACCATCATTTGAACAATTAGTTACAATTACAAGTCAACAACAAACTATTGATCATACATATGATGATATTGAACTTGATTATACTAATTCTCAATTATTTGATTTAACAAGTAATAATACATTACTTTGTACATCAAATTATTATGCATTAATTTATGATGACATTACATCAAATTTAATTTTATATAATAATCAATCAAAATTAAATTCATATCTATGGAATATTGATGAATATGGTCAACCATGTGATTTAACATATTCATATTATTTAAATATATATTGTATAATAACAAATCGTGGTTTATTTACATGGTCATATGAAAATCCATTTATACCTTTATATATTGATTCAATAAAACCTATACATGGAAATCGTTTATGGACAATAGCATCAACTGATACACGATCGGATGTATTTATATTATTTAAATCAGGTAATTATATTGAAAGATGGAATTCTAAAATTGATACAAAATCTTGGCAACATATAAAACGTTGGTCAAATCATGAATTATTTGAACGTAATGATCAACGTATCAGAACAATACGAATGACATCAAATTATGTTGCATGGACTGTTGAATCAACAAAAATATTTGAATGGCGAGTAGATTTACTTGATTATAATTTACAAATTATTCGACAAGGTATTAAAATAGATTATTTAAATAAACATTCATCATGTTTATTATCTAATTTTGGTTTGGAACAATATCTTATTGTTGATAGTAATGGACATTTATTATTTTTACTTGATTCAAATGGTTATATTAATTTAAAAAATGATGATATTACAAATAAACGTATTAATAATGCTGTTTTTATGAATAACAATAATCAACAATGGCTTATTGTTCGATTAGAACAACCAAATCAATTGCATTTTATTCCATTATTAAACAAAACAGACAATAAAAAATAAAAACATTTAGTTAGTTGTTTTTGATGTAGATATACGAATTAGAATTTCAACGAACAATTTTGTTTTGTGTCGTCGTTTTCTTTTTTTTTATTGCTTAATTTTATTTTAAGCACACACACATCTTCACATAAAAAAAAAAATAAATCTTATCACTGCGTTGGTTTTTGCTCTCTCTCTGGAATTGTTGTTTGATATCATATTGACATAAAATATACATCTATGATTACTTTATTTACTTGAAAAGTTTCAACGATGTCGAATGAGAATTCATTGAGATAAGTACAAATATCGAATATCGCAAAATCTTTTGCGACATTCTTTGTTTTGTGTTTAACTCTATTTTTTTCCAAAAGATACGTCATCGAATGTTCTACTCGGATTATAGGATCAAATCTTTATAGCTATTTGTGATATTTTAATTGACCATTAACATTAAATAAGTGTATCATTCTACAAAGAAAAATTGGAAAAGTTCATTTTTTGATTAACAACTAAAGTCATTTTTCAATCAAATCAATGTTAGATAAAATGGCCTGTCTCGAACATTGTAAAAAAACATCGAAACATTCATCACTCCACCCATACTTCCTATGAAATCAGTACTGATGTCTCCTCAGCGTATTTTCATTAACTTCAGTTGAAGCCAAGTTCTCATTGTATTATTTTGTTAAGCTTAGTACTTTTTTTTTTTTACTTTTTCTTTCGACAATCGAGGAAGTTTAATCTAGCGATTTGTGTATCGAACTCACTGGTTTTAAACAATGTTCTTGAGAGCAACATAGCAACGAATGTTCTATTTCCTGGCGGGGCATTCAAATCGATTGACCCAGACATTATTTTTCATTTGTATTCGAGATGAGGATGAGAAGTAGACTGCTGCAAAATGGTCACGGTCACCCCTGACCTTAACTATCACTGAAGAAATCCGAGTAAAAAAAGTTGCAAGAGAACAATAGCATATCTTCTTCCTATTTTAATTGAAAAATAAGAAATCGAAGTTATTCATTATATTCATATTTCATATTTAATCTTAATTAAAATTAAAAAAAAAAGCAATGAAAAAACAATAAGTTCAATTAGTACAAATAACAACTTTACTATTATTCTGATACTATGATCGATGCCAGAATTTAAGGCATTCGAATATTTTTTTAATAACTTTCGATAGGAACAAGATAGAGATCTGCGATCTTCAACGTCCAATAGCCAAGACCTAGGAACATATTTTCATAAGCAAAATGGTTTTTGAAAAGAATTTCGAATACCGATTTCTTTGAGGATCTTTGGAAAATCAGGCTAGATTTCTAAAAATTGTCATAGTATTCTATTGATTTTTACATGAATAGATGGCTTAGAGTATTTTCTACAAAACTAGATTTACGCAAAAAGTTCTATCTTGCAAGATTTAGACGAATCAGGCAATTTTCTTGAAGCCTTAGGACTCCCCTTTCTCTAGATGTGACATTATTATAAACATTTGAAAACATAGGTTATCGACTATGCTGAATATCGTAGCAATATTTATTCTCATTTTAGAATTACTTTTTTTTTTTATTGATCATACACGAGCATTATTAATATATGGTGTTTTCTTATGAAAAAATACTCTTATGATGATTTATGCGGTCTTGTTGCTTGAATAGAATGAAAAATATGCAGAAAGACAATTATCTACTTAAAAAAATAGTTGAATCATCAGTTTCTTCTTCATCATCATCATCATTAAATATAATTCTAAAATGAGAATAAATATTGCTACGATATTCAGCATAGTCGATAACCTATGTTTTCAGATGTTTATAATAATGTCACAGCTAGAGAAAGGGGAGTCCTAAGGCTTCAAGAAAATTCCCTGATTCGTCGAAATCTTGCAAGATAGAACTTTTTGCTTAAATCTAGTTTTGTAGAAAATACTCTAAGCCATCTATTCATGTAAAAAATCAATAGAATACTATGACAATTTTCAGAAATCTAGCCTGATTTGCCAAAGATCTTCAGAGAAATCGGTATTCGAAATTCTTTTCAAAAACCATTTTGCTTATGAAAATATGTTCCTAGGTCTTGGCTATTGGATGTTGAAGATCGCAGATCTCTATCTTGTTCCTATTGAAAATTATTAAAAAAATATCCGAATGCCTTGAATTCTGGCGCCGATAATAGTTTGGAAAAATCTCCGTGATTGTGACTAAAAAATCATGGTCACGCGGAAATCTAAATGAGAAGTAATCTTCATGCTTTGAAAGTTACACTAGGTTTTTGATTGATTTCAAACATTGTAGCCAAAATAAATGAGCAGTAATTATCAAAATTAAAATTGAATAATTTTTGACTTTCTCTTAGTTTTCCTTGTAGGAAATAATACGATAAGACAAGTGTTCAATATTACCAATCTATTAAAATTTCGAAAATACTTATTAAGATTTGATCTTGTGATTCGAGTAGAACATTCAATAACGCATCTTTTTTAAAAGATCAACGTTTTATCATGTTCCTGAAACGAGTTACATGCAAAACAGCAAATGTCGCAAAATTTGTATCACTGTCGATATATTTTATATACGCATGTACACTAGTGAAATCACAATCTTGGTATTTAGTTTTCTAAGCTTTTGCGAATAAATAAATTTGAAAAGTTTGTACAAATAGAAATGAAATCGAGAAAATTTAATTTATGTATCAAATGGTGGATGTTATTGAAAACAGTAAATTTTTGTATTTTGTTTAATGAACTTTTATTTGATAGAGCTAAAACTTTCAAACTAAGAAAGTAATCAAAGATGTACCTGTAATACAAATATCAAATTAGGACACAATGGTAGAGAGAAAAAAATCCAGTATGTTATTTATTTTGGCTAAAGAAATATGTCATTACTTATTTTGAAACAAACATGATAACGAAAAACACAACATGAAAGGATACCATAAATAAAATATAACAAAGTAAAACATAACAAGAAATGGGAAGTAATTGTTACTTGAAAATCCTTCGATCTATTGATATTTACTAAGATAAATGTATAATCATATTTAACATTCTAACAAAGAAGGCATTCTTCTATTTTTCAATACCATTAATCTTGTTTTTGTTTAATGAACTTTCCTAAGGATTTATCGAACAGGTGCATATCACAATATATATATAAACCGATTAAATTCAATAGATATGCATCAATCGATACATTTTACTACATAAGAATAACGTAAGTAAACGATATACATGCATTCTATTGTTTTTTTTTTATTTCGATTTTATGATTTAGTTTGGAAATAATAAAATGCGTTGGTATTGTTGGCTTATATTTTTTTTTGTCGCAAATCTTTCAATATGGGCTTTACCTACGGATGGTGATGTTGATAGAAAAAGTTTACTAGCTGTTGATAATGAAAATCGACTTTTAGTTGCAGAAGATGAAGGCAAAGTTGATGAGAATATAATTGGTGAAGATGAAAGTTTGATTATGACTGATGAATATTCTCGACTACGAAAACCACACAAACAAGAAAAAGATAAAGATAATGATTCATCAGAAAGCAACGATGATGAAGGCAACAATGAGGATGATAAAAAAAATAACAAGAAACCAAAAATGACAAAATTTATTTGCTTCACAGAAAAATCTAATCGACATAAATTACGACGACGTCCTCAACAATCAGGTAATGTTTGAATTTAAAAATTTCTAAAAAGAAATTCACGATCTGTTATAGAAACACATCGACAACATCCATCATCGTCATCATCATCAGCTAACAATTCATCACAACGTCCACATAATCAATAAAATCAAAATCAAGATGATTGTAAGACAACAGTTTGCAATTTTATTTCATTAATAGAAAATATCTTATCTATCTTTACAGCTAACACACATTGATCTAATAAATAATAACAATGATCAACATCTACAACCTTTTCATGGCTTATAAATTGTATACAAAAATTTTTTTTTTCATTTAATTGCTTTTTTTTATACAATACTATAAAATATATTTTAAAGTAGAATTTTCTCTATGAATAAAATATTCAATAGATTTATGAGATCTTTTATATTTTATTTATTTCTGATACAAAATCCATAGAAAAGAAACAAGTAGAGATTATATTACTATAAAATCTTACGATTTTTATCATTTGCTTTCTTTTGACAGAAAAATTAGAATGACAAAATTTTGAAGCTAACATATTGATGTATGGAGTATGTGATATTTCTTTCATGAATGAAACAAAATTACTGATTTCTTTTTCTAAAATGCAGAATTTCTCTAGACGAACCGATTTTTTATTTTATCAGTCAGCTTTTTCAAAAGTCAACATACTGAGTTTTTTTAAAGCAAAGTCAGTTCATTGAAATGTTGTTTGACGTTTGAATATAATAATTGATGTTATACAACAATAATGATGAGACAAAACAATATGAAAAATAAGGTATACTTCATATACTCAGGTGAATATGCGTATGTGAGACTGTGTTTACCATGCTATATATCCTATTAATAATCAATGTGATAAATGTGTTTAGATTTGTTTGTTTTTTTCGTTCTTCAACAAATAATTCACCTCGTTAGAGACAAAGTGTTTCTTTTTTTTGTGTTTTATCATCATTATATATTGTTACACTTTTCAAATTAACAAACATATTCGGCTAATGTAATATTTTCTTTTATTTTTCAATAACTTGTATTGATTTTCTTTGAACCTTTTGATCTTTTTGGAAGGGATCCACGATTTAATAATGAGACATTAGCATATTTACAATTCATTGCACAGAATCCTCCACCACAAGGTAATGTTATCGAAGTTGAAACAATGCGTCTATTTTTTGAAGATATACATCAAAAAATCAATGAAAAACTTCATGGAACATTCAGAGGTACAACAGAGGAAAAAATAGTGAAAACTAGTTCTACAGGTAGATTTCCAATTGTAAGAATAATTTCATAAATAAAATAGTATGCATTTCAGAAATACCTATTACAATCTATACACCAATAGATGTTAATAAAGACAAATTAGTTGTTTATTTTCATGGTGGAGGTAAAATCATAAAGATAAATTAAAAAAATTCGGCTAATGTATTATTTATCAAATGTAATAGGTTGGGTTATTGGTAGTCGAAAAACTCATCAAACAATTGTTAATTTCCTAGCTGAGTACATATAGATTTATCTTAATTCATTTTATTTATATTTTTATATAGTGTGACAAAAACAATTTGGATTTCTGTGGAATATCGTCTCGGACCTGAATACAAATATCCAATTTGGCTTGATGATGCATGTGATGTTACTCAACATATTATTCAAAATAAAACGGCTTACGGTTTATTGTCATTCAGAAAATCTTTAAAGATCTATTAATCATTATTTTAGGTGTTAATCAAACAACTAAAATTGGAGTTGCTGGAGATAGTGCTGCAGGCATGATTAGTGCTTCACTTTCTCGTTTATTAAAAGGCATCGATTTTCAAGTATAGATTTCTTCAATAATGATTAAATTCGATGATATACATTTTTTTTTAAAATAGATTCTTATTTATGCTGCATTAGATATCCTTGGCCAAACACCATCTTATAAAGAATTTGCGAATCGAATGTATTTTCTTACACCTGAATTCATGAATTGGTATAGAAATTATTCGAAATTATGTATAATAAATAAAGTCACATTGTTTTTTTTTTAATTATTGAATAGGTTTTGTATGCATGCCTATCATAACTCGGATGATATAAAAGATCCTCGAGTATCTGCTCTACTCAATAGAACATTTGATGAATTACCACCGTGTTTATTTATAGTTGCTGATCTTGACATTCTTCGAGATGAAAACTTAGGTATGAAAAAGGATAAATTATTAGATTTTATAGGAAGTCTAATTTTCATCTTTTAGAATATCAAAAATTACTTGAAAAAGCTGGTGTTCAAACGAAATTAGTACTTATTAAAGGTGTCATTCATGGATTTTTTAGTTTTCCTGGTAGGACAATGAAGAAATTTTTGCTATAGAATTATTTATATTTTACTATTGAAATCTAGGAATTTTTCCACAAACATGTGCAGAAGCAATTGATGCTATTCGAGATTTCATGGCATCGATTTGATAAACAAAATACGAAAAAACACGTCCGTAATTTTTCTATATAGATTAGGAATAAATCGATTAATCATTGTTCTTATCATTATTTTATTTTTGTTTATGCATATTATTGTTTCTGCTTTGATAATCCTTCGTATACTTTTTTTTTTATTGAATTTTATATTCTTAATCTAATTTTATACAAAAGATACATAGAAGAATGATATTAAGTTCATTGTTTATATGAACTTTTGTGAAACACAGGAGCGTTGAAGTATAGGGGTAGAAATTTGGACCTTCCCTCTCCCACAGATCGTGACAGAGGTTGTTGATAAACTTTTACAGGCTATATATCAATAACGTCTCGTTATAATACATGAATAACTTCCTTATTATATTTCTGAAAAATTAAGTAAAATAGTAGTAAAGAAAGGTATCTCAATGGTGTAAAGCAATCCTCATGTGATTAGAGTTCGACGATTCCAATGATTACTCAGAATCATGATTACAGTTCGGTTCTCAAAGTATCACGTGGAACTGAAATCGTTACACTATTAGATAGATACGAAAATTTTAAATCTAGTTTGAAAAATTTTCACTATTAAATTGTTGAGATTAAAGATGACATATATTTTAGTACTTAAACAAAACTATATTATACATATATACTGAAATCTTTAATCTGAAAAATGAAAAAATGAAGATTTCTCAACATAGATTTGAGAACTTTGTATCTATCTAATGATTTAACGGATTCAAAATGGTTTTTTCCACGATTTCAATGTCAAGAAATTTTAAAAAATTAGCTACATCCTGTTTCATTTTTTAATCCAGTAGGAATTGCGCTAACATCTTTTTAGTAAAATATCAGATAGAAAAATATATGTCAAACAAAAAAAAAATAAGGCATGATTTATATTTATTCTAATGGGAAAAAAAACTTTCAAGGATTCTACATGGGAACAGAAAAATTAACAATTAATTTGAATTGAATGTTCATCAATGGCTAATGGTAAAATTGTAATTGGACAAATAGCTTTTTCAATTCTATCAATTTTTTCATTAATATCATTAAGATTCGATTTGATAAATTTAATTTCTTGTTGATCTCCATCTTCAATTTCAATAAATTCATCGATTTGTTTTTGTAATTGATTCATATATTCACATTGTTTTCCGACATTTTCCTCAATATATTCAGTAAATTCTTGACGTTTTTGATCATATAAACGATCAATTATTATATAACTATTAATACGCCATTGTTTAATTTGTTTTTGAAAAGCTTTAATTATTTCCGGAATATTAAGTGTTTTAAATCGATAATTAACATGATGAATTTCGTTTTTTAATAGATTTAATTGAGAAATAATTGAATCATTATGTTCCCATAAATGTTGATAACAAAGATCTTGTTTACAACATTTACATAATGCTCGTTGTATATGTCTACAGTTGTCAATAACACATTTTTCAGACATTGATTGAGAATTTGCAGCATCCATGTATTTTTTTCGTTGAAAGTTTGTGAGAATATGATGAAATCAGAAAAAGAGAGAATTTCTTTTATTTTTTCTTAAAAAAAAACAATAGGCAAAGAGAGAGAGAGAGAGAGAGAGAGAGTTTATTTGTCTGAAATTATTAATTATTGACTATCAAAATGAATTGAATAATAGTAGATGTTTGTTATACTATGGTTTACATTGAATTAAAAAGAATGAATTTATTTTCTATGAACAGTATATTTCAAATCAAGGATGATTGAAAAAAAACAAATAAATAAAAAGTCTACGATATGAAATGATCTTTTGAATTATTTTATTATTAGTTTTTTCTCTTATATTCAATATTGAAAACGTATTTTTTTCTATAATGAAATTCTTGATATGTCTATCCATGAACCCTTATATAAGCTTTATTATAAAATTAAATTAAATCATATTATAATTAATTTGAATTGTCTACAATTTGAAAATCTTGCTCCGTGTAATAAATGATATTTTTTTTTGTCAACATAGCAGGTACTAAATAAAATTTTAAGATCTCAAAAAAAAAAATATCAACTCTCTAGATCTTTATGTATTGACTCAACAAAAATTAAAATACAAGTGGTTAGAGAATCCGTAAAATTGTTCAAGGACGATTAGTTCTATAGTTTCACTGTGCTTTAATAAACAACATACGATGAATAGATTTATCATTAGTAATATTTAGCATAGAGATGAAATTCAATATAAACAGTACAAATTTTTTTTCAAGAATAGATAACACTTACAAATTCGAAAAGTTCAAATGAGTAATTTCGGACAAAACAAGACTCGACTATCTTTCATTTGATTTAGAGTTTTTGCAAGGTTTTTTGCTTTGAACAAATGCTTTTACTATGAATATATGTAAAAATGCTCGCTCTTTAAGTGCATATCTAATCGAAATTTTATAGCTAATCAGTTAATTAGTGAAGCTGTAAATAGCGAATAATATTCTAAACTTACGATAGAAAAATTTTGTTTTACCATCATTTCGAAGTTTGCAAGAAGGAATTGTTTCATTTCTCTAGTCATACTCTATCACGTTGCTAACAACAAGGAAATTCAATTTCCTGAAAATACTAAACAGATTCAGAAAAAAATAACTTAACTCACAGATATTGTAACCTGAAAAATTTTCTATAAAACATACGATGTGCTTCTGAAAAATACTGTTTGAATTCAAAGTATTTTTAAACGAAAACGCATGTAATGAACATCTGTGTCTTGTTTTGTGTCACATCACTAACGCTGGAATGAAACGCACTGTTGATACCAAGCGTCATAATTGTGGATACATATATAAATACTTTTTTTCATCATGGTAATGCATGTTCAATTTTTTGATAATTTGTTTTCCTCTCCATGTATTCAGTTGCTTTGGCATATGGTTCATCATCATCATCCGTAGATGAATTTTCATTAAAAACGAAATCTTTTATTAAAACAAAATTCTTTTTCACTTCTATGATCTATTCTCAAGTACAATAAATTGTTCAATTATGATTGAATCGGTTTTTCACTCCTATACTTTTATATAAATAGCAGTTTGAAAAAGTAAAAATATTTTGCAACATTAAAAGATCTCATTAATCACTTAGTGGGGTTCGAGTATAGGCTCATACTCGAACTCGACTAGACATTTTCTTCATGAGTAGTACCCGAGCGAGTTGCAGGATACTAAATGTTTTGTCTCTGAAAGTAAAACTAAGTGTATGAAAATACTTGCAATGAATAAATGAACTAATTAACTTCTTTAATTGTTCTTCGGAAAAAAAAACAACAACATCGTTTGTTTTATTTTGTATTTTTTTATTTCAAAAGCAATTAACAAATATTTTTAACAGTGAACAAATAATTTTCTTTGTTGTCTTTCATAATATTCTTGATCAAATAAATTCATAATTGAACTTTGAATATCAATATCAATTTCTTCTAAATACCAACGTTGTTCTTTTATTAAAATCATATCCCAATGATCATGATATAAAAGCATACAATTAATAAATAAACGTTCATCATGTGTCATTAAACGAGATGATTTTGTTTCAGTTGGTATCAAATATCGATAACAAGTTTCATCTTTACCAATACGAATATATGGTATTTCATTATTAATAAAACCACATCGTCTTGTACTATCACCAATAACAAATTGTCGACCAAATTGATTTTTATAATTTGTTGTTAAATATTCAAGTGAAGATTTTTCAAATAATTGTACAAAACACATACCTTTTGATTTAAGAAAAATATCTAATGAAAGAAATTTTAATTGAAAATCTTGTGTTTTTGGATTTGGTAAACGTTTTGACATATAAACACTACCATGAATTGAATTCCAAAAGAAATTTTCTCGTGCTTGTTCACTTATAATATTATAAGCATGAGCTATAGATGAATCTGACGAAAAACAACGGATGCATGATGATGCTAAAAGTAAATATTGATGATAACGACTATGAATATCATTTAAATTTATATAGATTTTCTTATCATTGAAACATTTAATATATGGAAAAATAAATGAATCAATTTGAATAAAACCACCAGATTCTTCAACAATGGATAGATCAAGCTAATCAAAACAAAAAAAGAAAGATTCATTTAAATATTATTTAAGAATTAAAACAAAAATTATAAATATATCGTACACGTTTTTCGAAAAATAATCGTCGTTGTGCAATATTTGTTGATGAAAAACATAATGAATTCGATTCATTCGTTGATTGTCGATTTTGTCTATACGAAAAATTTATTTTTGTTTTCAAATACAATTCCAATCAATTGAACATTTAAAAAAAAAGTTAACATAACAAAAGTACAATGAATTTTTATAATAAATTCTCAAGTCTACAAATCTTCCTATTCAAATATCAATATAAATAACATATACATACACACTTTTCCATGGAGAATAATAGTCCGATACAAAGAATTGTACGAGACTAAACTTTGTTTGTCTTCGTCCCGATAACTTCTATTTCAGTAGTGCCGACTTGGAGAAAACTATTTCAGATTCATTGTTTTATTCAGCGTGGAGACCGAGGGACAGTGCTTCTTCAAAGATCGAGTTTGCCCTTTCGTAGCTTGTGGTTTCTTGTGCCATGTACTTCCAACAATAGATGTGCCCTCTCGAAGTTTTCAATCGGTTCTCCGGAAGAGAAAACCTGAATAAAACACTGTTCAGATCTCTAAAAATCATATAGAAAATTTAACTACACTTTTTAATTCCGGTTCGAACAATGATTTTTTCCGTAGTCTTAATTAACACACATCTCTAGTTCGGTATCATGAGAAATGGATTTCAAAGATATTTGATAATAAAAATGAAATGAAGGTCACCTTTATTTTTTTTTGTTTTGAAATTATTGACAAAATCAAATAATAATTCTATGCTCGATATTGACAAAATGTTTTCATAGTAAGATCATTGAATAGTATACTACTAACATCAATCTTTTACGTTTTCAAACTCAATCTGTAAGCTTCATATGAC